TGTTTTCTGTTTGTGTCATCTTTTCCCTGCCATCATTTTATCCATTCAAATGAAGTGAGGAAACTTGACCTTCCTTTATGTCTCTTTAGTCTTCCTCATGGATAATATAGTTATCTTAAATAATTCCTCTACATCCATATACAACCACATCAGAGTGTATTAATAGTTTTTTTGTCTGTTTGTTCATTTCAAACATCTAATATAATTTGGACCCATCGAGAGAAGGGAAGTCTACTTTTTCTGATTGCTCTAAGTTGTCTTTTTCTTTTTAATTCTCTCCTGTTTAAAGGGCTAACTTTACCCTTTCTTTTAGTGTAATTCTGATGGTTAAAAAGCAAACAAATAAACAAACAAATCCCTTAGTTTTCTCGCCATCTGAGAAGTCTTTATCTCCCCTTTATGCCTGAGGGATATTTTTGCTTGATTGAGAATTCTAGTCTGGAAGGTCTTTTAAGCACTTGAGAAATGCCATGCCATTTCCCTTTGCCTCCCACGAGTTCTGATGAGGAATCTGCKGTCCAGGGGATTCAGGCTGCAGTATCGCAGGAAGGCACTCATACCAACATGAGCACGAGGCCAAAAGTTCCCCAAGTTGGAGGCTCCAGCCAAATAATGGTTATTCTCTATATTATACATTAGGAAACTTATCATGACATATAATACAGCCTATTGTAAAGACATACCAATATTTTTCAATATGAGTTTCAAGAAAAATCTACTATTTCTCTCTGTTTTATTACAACTCAGAAAGATGTAATCGATGAGCAAGAAGGAAAAAGAAAATGCCTAAAGTAACTTTTTGTGTCTGTTCCTTTTTAACACAGCTKGGAGAGAAAACTCACGACCTGGCTTCTGTCCAGCTCCACATCAGAAATGGCATCAAATGAAACCCAGGACATGGGGAACTGCACGACTGAAACCTTCAAGGGACAATTTTACCCCATCGCCTACCTAATCATATTTGTCTGGGGATCCTTGGGAAATGGCTTGTCCATATATGTTTTCCTGCAGACTTATAAGAATTCCTCATCTGTGAATGTCTTCATGCTCAACCTGGCCATTTCCGATCTCCTGTTCACAAGTACTCTGCCCTTCAGGGCTGACTACTATTTAAGAGGCTCCAACTGGATATTTGGGGACCTGTCCTGCAGAATTATGTCATACTCCTTGTACGTCAACATGTACACCAGCATTTATTTCCTGACTGTGCTCAGCGTTGTGCGTTTCCTAGCCACCGTTCACCCCTTCCGGCTTCTCCATGTCACCAGCTTCAGGACGGCTTGGATCCTCTGTGGGATCATATGGCTCTTTATCATGATTGCCTCAGGAATGCTGCTGAAGAGAGGCTCCGAGCCAAAGGGCGAGCTCATATCATGCTTGGATCTGGATCCCAAAAAAATTAACAATCTGCTGATCATGAACTACGTTGCCTTGGTGGTGGGCTTCCTGCTGCCGTTCTTCACACTCACCATCTCTTACCTGCTGATCATCCGGGTCCTGTCGAAGGTGAAGCTCTCGGAATTGGGTCTGCGGGCTTCTCACAGGAAGGCTATGATCACCATCATCATCACCTTGATCATCTTCCTCCTGTGTTTCCTGCCTTATCACTCGTTGAGGACCCTCCACCTGGTCACCTGGGATGAGAAGGAGTGCGGGGATGGGCTGCACAAAGCCGTGGTCATCACATTGGCCTTGGCGGCAGCCAACACCTGCTTCAATCCTTTCCTCTATTACTTTGCTGGGGAGAATTTCAAGGATAAATTAAGGGCTGTGTTCAGAAAAGAACATCTGCAGAGGGCAACGACAAAGTGCAGCTCTCCTGTTTGTGCGTGGCTGAAAACCGAAACGAGGGTGTAAGGTCCTTAGATGAGGYTCCTTCACGTACCATTGTGTCCACCTTCATTCACTCAGCATCCAGATGACATTGTCATTACGTCACTCTTGACAAATGTTGATGTCCACGTCTTGTTAACCATGACCTTTGTTAATAAGACCTACTTAGGACATTTCATTGGGTGTAGTTTCAGTGGCTGAATCTAAATGATGTAGGAGGAGAAACCCCCTAGTAGAGTCTTAAATGCTGAAATCTCAGACTGGGGGGAAAATGTCAAGCACAGTGGAGCTGGCTTTCCATCAGATTCTGTATCCAGATCTCTGGCCCATCAGGCATTCTACATTCTTAATTTTAAAACATGTCTGATTTCCCCAGCATATCCAGCTCCCAGTCCCTATAAATCTTTGAGATACAGCCCATTACAAATATACCAGAGGCCCCAGAACATCACAAGTGCATCCTCAGAGAAGAAGTGCATCCTAAAATTCAGGCAGAGGCTGGGTATGGTGGTGCACGCCTGTAATCCCAGTGGCTCCAGAGGCTGAGGCAGGAGGATTGTTGAGTTCAAAACCAGGCTCAGTAACTTAATGAGGCATTTAGCAACTCAGCGAGACCCTGTCTCTAAATAAAATAGAAAAAGGTCTGGGGATGTGGCTCAGTGGTTAAGCATCCCTGGGTTCAATCCTGGGTACCAGGTGGGGTGGGAAAGGGACTCAGGCTAAGATATTATGAAGAGAAAGGATGCCCTGTAACAAAGCAATTACCAAGGCCCCAAGGACAGTGAGAGAGAAGCAGGGGAAGGATTGAGGTCAGAGAGAGCTGATGATAAGTGGGGGAAAGAGGAATTTCATTTTGCCCTGGGAGAAGGGTTCTTGCACAATGAAGGCACAAGGAATGTTTCCCTTGCTTCTTTCTTGCTCTGGGGTTAGGAAGGACAGGAGGAGTAGGAGGGGGAGCCGGGGCACTGTGTAGAGGGTGGAGAAATTAGGCATGGAATAGGCGAGAAGGCAGGGTCATGGGCACGTATCTGTTTTACTTTGAGACCTGGGTTTGGACTGATGTCACTGCAATCACTACTCCCGCTGTGGGTCCACTGGGATGGGAGCCAAAGTAAAGGAGGTGATGCTGAGGGTTTGGATTGGGCACTCAGGGAAAGGGAGGAGTGGAAAGCCAGGTGCAAAGGCTGCTGCATCCCTGAAGTCCTGTTTATGCTTCAGCAGGACATGAGCAGAGAGTGGAAACAAAAGCACCGGACGTGGGAGGAGATCCTTTCTGCCCACAGAAACCAGGCTAAGGATCCTGCCAACCACTACCAACAGCCACTACCAAGGACACTGCACTGCCCACAGCTGAGTGCCCTCCCCGTGCCAGGCAGACTGTGCCAGGCACTTCACATTCATTCACCCCACAGAACCCTCCCGTCTCGACTCTGGAGAAGTTTTCATTTCACAGATGGAGAAGTGAGAGCTCAGAGACTTTGAGAAGTGTGCCTCAGTTTAAACAGCTAGTGAGCGTTTAAAAACCTCCCTGCGGAAGGGCTGACCGGGTACTCTACCCACTGGACCCTTGCAAACCTCCAGGGACACTTTTTGAAAGGGTGAATAGGAGCTCCCCTCTCCCACCAGGAATACGCTCCTCCTCATTCTCACAAAAAAAATAAAGATTTTTCTCCTTGGAGTTGATCCCTGACACGGTGGAGGGCTGGAGGGAAGTGATGTTCTGAGGCTCTGGAGGGACTAAGACAGCTTTCATGCTAAAGTGAGGACCCAGTGCCCTTCCCTTATTTGGCTACCAGAATAATAACAGACAGATGCCTGTCAAGACAGGACCCTGGGGCTTCTGCCTACAGGAAACTGCACAATCCTAGAAAAAAGGCTGACAGAGGTTGGGAATCCTCTAGCCTCAAAGCTGGACATCTGCTTTGTTTCCTACATGACTTCAGAGCCTACAATGCAGTGAATCCCTTTCACTCACAAGAGCATCAAATCAACCTATTATGACATCATTATGAACGGCCATCAGTGACCACTGCACACTTGAGGAACAGGCCCTCGTGTGAAAGACACCAGCAAATACATGAGAGAGTAGATAGAGGCCTTTTCAGAATGAAGGACCTCAACATGTTTTATCATCCTTGCATTAATTATGGTTAAATTTCATTTAATTTATTCATCTGTTTGCAAGTTTCATTATTTTTGTTCTACTCTGCATCTCTGAGATTCATCTGGGATCTTATCTTTTTGCCTAAAGATCTTTCTTCAATAGTTTTTTTTTTTTTTAACACAGCTTAATAAAATGATGAATTCTCTATTTTTTTTCTTTAGCAAGAAAATATTTTCACTTTATCTTAATTCTGAATTATATATATATATATATATATATATATATATATATATATATATAACAAATAACACTGGAACAACTGGATGTCCATATGAACAGGCTCAAGAATTTATTGGAACCCTCACCTCACACCGTAAACAAAAACCAATTCAAAATTTATGAAAAATCAACCCAAGATTCTTACAAGGGGATGTAAGTGTAAATTTTTGTGATCTTGTAGTGAGCAATGTTTCTTTTTTTCTTTTCTTAATTTATTTTAATTAGTAAGTATATATGAGAGCAAAATGCATTTTGACTCATTGTACACAATTGCAGTGAAAAAGAAACTTGATCAGAGAAGGAAAATAACCACAGTACACTACATGGCTCAGCTGTGAATAATATTTACAAAGTGAGTAATATACATACAGAAATACTGTGATATAATTTTTTTTCAGGAAATAGGGGAGATGATGTGCATGTGTGAGAGATGGGTGTAAGAAACCTGAGTTCCCATCTTTCATCAGAGAAAAAGCATCGCAGCTGAAGCTGGGAAATAATAAACAGCTGTACAGTATGTTATTTAGCGATAGGAGGTAAATACCAGAAACAGCAGCAAGAAGAATGGACAGAGACTAGCTCTGGATAGAAGCTGGGTGTGGGAGAGTGAGGTGGGGATTTTAGATTTCCCTTCTCAGAACTGTTGAACTGTTTGTGAATGTGTGTTGCTGAAATAAAATAAAATAAAAATTAAGTTAAATTAATTTTAAAATTCAAATGAATTCTTAATTTTTTTAAGGAATAAGAACATTGATATGAGAAAAGAGAGAGGGAGAGAGGCTTAGTGAATTATTTTTCCCTTTCCCCAAGACTTTTCCTCTTTCCAACCAAGGAGAAGCCTCTGATTTGGTAAAAAAAAAAAAAAAAAAAAAATGTCACCCCTGGGAAAGGAAAAAAACCCAGCAGTCTTTATTTAAGAAAGTAAAGGCCAAGAGATTCCAGCTCTTTTTGTTTGAAGGATTCAATATCTCCTCAAGCAAACCTACAAATTGCTCAACTGGGAGAAAGGAGTTCTGTTGAGCAAACTTTGGCAGAATTATGATTCTGGAAGGGTGCTTTTTCAATGGGGACCTAAGAAGCAAGTGCCAGTTATATTCTGTTAATATATGTTATATAATGTTAAATGAACAATTCTCTGTTGTAGATTTCATCATTACAATTTATTCTCAAGTAGAGATGATGTCATACTGGCCAAAAATGGGTTAGGAAAGGAGATTGGCAAAGATAATGGCTTTCTTTAAATAATTCAGTTTTCTTTTCTTTCTTTCTTTTTTTTTTTTTTTTTTTTTTTTTTTTGGTACCAGGGGTTGAACTCGGGGGAACTTAAACAGTATGCCACCTCTCGAGCCCTTTTTTGAATTTTATTTTGAGACAGTTGAGACAGGGTCTCTCTGAATTACTTAGGGCCTTGCTAAGTTGCTGAGGCTGGCTTTGTACTTGTGATCCTCCTGCCTCAGCCTCCCAAGTCACTGGGATTACTGGCATGCACGGCTACCCAGCTCACTTTTCTTTTTGGAGAAGAGTTTGAAAATAGAGACCCAGCAGGGGAGAATGGGGAGGTGGGGGTAGCCCAAGGCATCTGGAGATGAGAGAGCTTCATTTCAAGTCTTTTCTTCCACAATAGATGGGACAGCTATTTAGGGCTAAATAAAGCCACAAGGAGAAATACAATGACAAAGAGCTTATTACAATGTTGATATATATTTTGACACTCTAATAATTAAAATTAATAATTTAATTAATAATAATAATTAATAATAATTAAATTAATAATAATAGCACCGGCATAAGGATCCACTGAGAGATGAAAGAAGCACAACCCGAAAATAGAGGCTGATTTACATGGGGAACTAGAAAGACCTGTGAAAGGTTAGTTGGATGATGAGCTGAGGAGACTGAATTCCAAGCCCAGGAGCCTCCAGACCCCAACCCTTAAGCCTCTGCATCCTAACTGTGGGGTAGACACAGTGGGGTGTACTGGACATAAAGATAACCTGTAACATGGCTCTGTGGACGGGTGTGGAACTGTGGCTGATGACCAGAGAGGTCTCCCTGATGAACTGACTCTTGCAGGACCTCAAGTTTTGCATAACCTGCAAGTTAGGGAATATCCAACTGTTGTATAACTTTCAAATTGGGGGATATTTGTAATGTATAAGACTGAATTCCTCATTCGCCTGATGGAACAGGGGCTTAACATCTTGATATTAATTAATGTTCTTGAAATTAAGTATGATTCTATGAAGTCATTTTGACTAGAAGTTTCCACTTATCTTTTATTTACAAGATATTTCATGCAAACAAAAATGTGTAAATAAGAATAAAATTGTCACCTCTGTTCTTACTCCCAGGCATGAGAAAAAAAATATTACTAGTACTGTCATAATCATTTCCATATCCCTGATCTCAGAGATCAACATCAGTCTGAATTTCATGCTAATGATTTTTTTTTGTTTCTATTTACCATTTTATCACAAAAATGTATCCCATGGAAAATATTATTTAGCTTTGTATATTTTTGCATTTTTAAGAAATGGAATAATATAGAAACCATTTTTTCCTCACTCATCTTTATCTTTTGAGATTCAGTCAAGGCACTGCTGCTAAGATGACTAGCACAATTTAATTATCCATACTTCTG